ATTCAGGGTTCCAGGCCTTCCTGGTGACCTTGCTGGGCTGGTAAACAAAATACGGACACCATAGATCACAGAATGACCCTCAATGAAGGTGGTGAAGGTCTACAGTGGGACCAGGGCCGGGCAGGGCAGGATGCCCTCTGTGCTTCTGCTAACTATGCTGATGCAGCATTCTGGTCACTGCCATCGCTCTTTTAGAATTGGAAAATTGGGAACAGGTCTCATCCCACCCCCATCTCAAGGCATTTGCATTACACTACTTCCATAAGTGAGTTTTCTGGGCAAGCGTAGCTAGATAATGAATGCTCTAGTTGTTTGGCCCAGGCACTGAAGCTTAAGCAAACAGCTCAGGCTTTCATCCATGGTGGGTGATGTCGAAAGTGAGCCAAGACTTTGCTTAAAGAATTTTTTTTCCTTCAGATTCTGGTTCTTCCATCCCAAAGAATCTTGATACACCACAGGGTAACCATGAAAAGTGTGTGCAGAGTACTTGTGACACAGGATGTGTTTGGGGCAGACAAAAAATATCTCAGACAAGTGGAGGGTAATCATGGTCGGCTCATGGCCCCCAGGTATGGAAAGCTCAGGTGGCTGTGGCTTCAGTCCAACGAACCCCAAGACATGTTCTGCTAAGCTCAGGTCAGGTGAAGTCTGACCCAGAGAAGAGACTCGCCCAGCCCTCCATGCCCAGGGCAGTGACTGAGGCCTCTGAACCCTGGGCAGCAAGGACTAGGTCACTCCATGTCACATACTAGACTCCATGGTCAGCCAAACATGGGCCTGTGTCTCCTGAGCTCAGTGAATGAAGCATTGTTTCCTTTCCTTCTTCTCGAAACACAAAATGTAAATAAAGGCAGATGGAAAAGCGGGAAAGACTGTGATGACTTTATCCTCAGCGTTACCAGCTTGATCAGAGGACCGCCACTGGACACACAGACCAGTCCTGGGAGGCAGCACTGCACATGGAGGAGCATCAAGGGGGCCTTGAGCGCTGCGCCCCATCGCTCCCCGTCACGTGCAGGGAGCGGCTCTGGGCCGACCATAAATACAGCGATGCTGTCCTCCCCTCAGCTCCCGCTCTGCACCTCCAGGTCACTGCCAGCCATGAGGACGCTCGCTCTCCTCGCTGCCCTTCTCCTGCTGGCCCTGCAGGCTCAGGCCCAGTCTCTCCCTGAAAATGTGGAGGAAGACGCATTGCAGGAGCAGCCTGGGGAAGGGGTCACCATGGCCGTGTCCTTCACTGGACCTGAGAGGTCTGCTCTTCAGAAGGCAGGTGAGAGAGGGCAGACAGTGTGGTGGGGCCTGGAGAGGAAGGAGGGAGCCGGCTCTGGAGTCAGGCTCAGGAGCCTGGTCCAGATCGACTAGGCCCACCCAGGTGACCTTGCTGCTCCTCTCTGTCCTTGCTGTGCTCATTTGTAGAAGTGACAGTGAGAGTCACCAGCCTGAGACCCTTCCTCTACAGACTTTGGGCTCCAAAATGTGTCTTTGGAAGTCACTAGAGAAAACCAGCATAGTAGCTCATTATAGAGTGAAATGGATTGATGTAGCTATAGAGAGACAATCCTGGCTTGCCTGAGAGAAAAGGTGTTCATTGCTGGAGCTTGTGCGGGAGAGTTCTCAGTGTGTCAGAGGGGGAATGGAGGGCAGACACATGGGGCGAGAGGAGAGTGGGGGTCTGGGACGCTGGCTCTAAGCACGGCTGACCATGTTGGCTGTGAGTTCATCAACACGGCAACCTGCCCTGACCCTCCTGTGTCTTCCCATGCTGCCCTTCTCCACCCATCCTGAGCCTCCTGTGTCTCCCATGCTGCCCTTCTCCACCACCCTGAGCCTCCTGTGTCTCCCATGCTGCCCTTCTCCACCACCCTGACCCTCCTGTGTCTTCCCATGCTGCCCTTCTCCACCATCCTGAGCCTCCTGTGTCTTTCCATGCTGCCCTTCTCCACCCATCCTGAGCCTCCTGTGTCTTCCCATGCTGCCCTTCTCCACCCATCCTGAGCCTCCCGTGTCTTCCCATGCTGCCCTTCTCCACCACCCTGAGCCTCCTGTGTCTTCCCATGCTGTCCTTCTCCACCATCCTGAGCCTCCCGTGTCTTCCCATGCTGCCCTTCTCCACCCATCCTGAGCCTCCCGTGTCTTCCCATGCTGCCCTTCTCCACCCATCCTGAGCCTCATGTGTCTTCCATGCTGAACTTCTCCACCATCCTGAGCCTCCCGTGTCTTCCCATGCTGCCCTTCTCCACCATTCTGAGCCTAGTTTGCCTTTCCATGCTGCCTCCTCTGTCTCTGTGTCTGCAGGCCCACGCACGTGCCGTTGTCATCACTGCTGCTGCCGACCTGGAGAAAAGGTGTCTGGATACTGCATCCAAGGCGGGAAGACATACGTGTTCTGCTGCCGCTGAGCACCTAGCACAGAGACCAAATACCCCACTTCCTCTGAGACACAGAGGGAGCACCCTCATCCCGTACTTAGCCTCCATTGTCTTTCTCTATAGCAAATACATTCCTTGAAGCAACTGATCTGTGTTTGTGATTCTTTCAGGTGTGTTGTCTCTCCATCAAGTCTTTTCTCTAAATTATATTTCATTTTGTGGTTAAGCTGCCATACACAGTGGTTTCAGTTATGTCAGTAAGGTAACGATTACAGTTCTTGTTGAACATTGTTACCCACTCCTTCGTTTTTTGCCCACTATGTTCCCCTCTTCTTCCCCTACCTCTCCACGTTCCCCAGCAAGACTTTTGCAGATTAAAGTAACAGACTATTTGATTAAAGACTTAAAACAAAATTTTGGCTCCACTTAGAGGGGAATTCAAGGCCAACAGTTCAGAGTGAAAGGGTTAAGGATCTCTCCTCTTTTGGCCGACACATCATTTGGATTGGACTCACATCCAAAGGCTTTGTCCATGGGCAAAAGAAATGAGCTTAAGCAACCAAATTCCCTTCGCTTCTCAGGGAAGCTGTCATGTTTCCCAAACGTGTAAGTACGCAGCTCTAGACCTCTCCTCTGTGTCTCGGACCCTGGGATTGTGCCCGGTTTAGGGAGACTGCCTCCATGAACAACAGCAAAGGTTGTTCCTACAGCTAGAATGGCTGCCAAGAGCCTCAAGTACCCAAGTCGGCCTGTGGTATCTGGTCCATCTTCACTTACACAAGACAAGTTCTATTCCAGAGAAAACTGTGCTTCACAAATGACGTGCATGACCACTCAATTGCCTGTTTCAGTAACACAAAATTGAGTTGCCCTATACTTACTGTGTATGTGTCAGCACCTATGCAATCTAGGCTGGAGGAGAATCTTGGATCAATGACGTTGTCACAGCCTGCACCCAGCCCGGAGTTTCCAGGGGACTTGGTCAACATCCTACCATCACATCTTGCAAGTGTGAAGGGCAGGGGATAGGTGAGGATTCTCAGGTCTGCAGTGAGGTCTGTGGAGAGGGGGCAGATTTCCCTGTGCTGAGTCTACTGCACTACCTGGCACACACCACCTGCTGCTTGCCTCTTTTCCTGGATGGTTTGATTCTATCCTCCTAAGACATTAGGCTTTCCCTGTGTGAGTCTTCCAGCCTGCATTCCCTACCTTAGAGCCCAAAGATCCAAGGTGTTCCTCTGCCATGACCACAGGCCGTGCCCTGTCCAGGAGGACCCAGAGCACATCTACTTACCATGGGACAGGCCTTCCTTGTGTGATTAGATTAAAGAGAAGACCACAGTGTGCAGAGAAATAGACCGTGTGCCCAATGGGATCATCTGCCGACTTGGCTAAAATGGTGTAAAGCATGTCATCACACACAGAGGATGGCTATGATGATAGGCACACCAAGACCCCCATAGAATTGCCTTCCTTATTTCTCCAGGTCTGGTCTGTTCTGAATCATGCACAGGTCTGGGCTCCCGACTATAAATCTACCTACCTGAGAGAGCCTTGTCCCCGAAGGAGACTTTCTATAACTATCTTGAAATGCAGAGATCCAAGGACATAGCTCCTTCTTTTGTGGAGGTTAGTGGCCTGACCTCAACAAGCACCAGTTACCAAATGTGCGTGGCACAATCACATTGACCAACCTCCCTACAACCTCCCCAGTGCCTCCTACCATCTAATCCTAGACCTTAACAAATCTCCTGCCTAAGTTTCCAGAGCTTCTCCCAACCGCTCTCACGATTGCAAACGCTTCAGCACATTGCGATAGTGTCTTCCATTCTTCCTTCCCATTTTTGACCATGTCCATGCAATTCTTTTTGTCAAATGTGTCTTTGTTTTTAAAATTGACCTATTAAAATAGTGTAAACTTATGATGTGCAATGTGGTGTTTGGATGCACATATATGTTGTTCAGCAGTCAAATTGGAGTTATTACTATATCAATCACTTCAAATATTATCATTTCTCTGAGCTGATACATTAGCTTTGTCTCTTGTAGCTATTTTGAAATAGACATTGTTATTGACTGCAGTCTAGCAGCTGTGAAACAGTTCACAAGAACTCATTCCTCCCATCTAAGTGTGAAATTGCTCCCTTTGCTCCATCTCTCTCCTTAACTCCCTAGACAAATCTGGTCTAAGTTACAATGGTTCCCTATTTGAATTAGGAGGAGGTTGGGATGTGTGGTGTTCACACAGTAGCGGGAGCACTTGGTGCTTACCTCCAGCACTGAGCTGTGCATGGCTCTACAGTCCAGTCACCCTAACACGGCAGAAGCTGTGGTGGGTAAGGCAGGAACTGCTGCTGTCTTTTCCTATTTTCGTGTTGCACGTGAGACTCTTTCAACAAAAGAGACCCCACTGAGTGAAGATTGATGGAGAAATAACCACTGGTGTCTAGCTAGACCTGGCCAAGACTGCCTGAGAGAAAAGAAGTACCTCTGGGTGGGGCCTCTAGGGGCAGAGTGCTGTGGGACCCCATGTAATACTAAATTGCTCAAATGCTCTTGCACCAGAGTTCTTTGATGCATGCAACAGAAGCCAGCCTCCAGAAATGAAGACACCTCTGATATCCCATATATAGGGCGAGTCTTTGTCCAGGGAGTGTGCAGCTGGGGCTTCATCCTGAGCCCTACGCAGAACTTCTCTCTGCCCATCTCTGCTCTCTGCTCAGCTCAAGCCTCTGTAAGTAATGGGAACCTCGTTTTGAACTTCCACGCTGTGGTTGGGGCATTGAAGACAACCTGCCCTGTCCACTCTAGGAGCACCACCTTGTAAGAGCTCACACTTGCAGAGCTCTTTGGGAGCTTGTCAGGTCTCTAGGGGCTGCAAAGAGCATCTCTACAGGCCCAGGTACTGGAAAGCTCAAAGCTTTGCCTGAAACCCATAGGTCCTAATTGTCATGTGGGGTTTACATATTAATTGACTCAGGAAACATTCTCCTAGTTGGAAATATAATGTTTTGAGGTTTTCATTCACGTTAAAAACAATCTGTTTTCATTTTTTCTGTTGGATTATGTTACCTGTGTATATATCCTGAGAAATAATCTCTCATCTGAAGAATGCTTTGCAAAACATTCTCTGCCTTTTCTTATTGTTTCTTTTCATATGTTGTGCAGACGTTGTGTGGACAGATACAATCCATGTTTAACTTTTGCTTTCTGGCCATAGCTTTGGTTTTTAGGTGGAAGAAATCACTTCCCAGATGCCCTGGGAAGGAGTTGCTCTCAATATTGTCTTCTGACGATTTTCTGAATTCGTTTTATTTTAGACTTTAATCCCCTTGATTTGAAATCAAGATACAGTAGGAAAATTTTCTCAACATATCCAGTTGTTTGAGGTAGATAGCTGTAATTTTACTGCCACTCATTCCTCCTTGAAAGATGAATATTGAATATTGTATTCCAGCTCTTTCCCTAACATCAAAGGGCACGCCATCAACTCTCCTGAAGGCTGTGTGCCTATGGACCCAATATAGACTCCACCTGGTTCCTGCTTTGACCCCACACCTTCATCAGGGGGATAAATCCCTTGACATTAGCAGGGCTATTGCCTGCTCATTTGGATAATGGACTGACCTCAGACTGCACCTCCACACAGTGCAGCGTTACTCACAATTCCCCTGAAGTTCAGAAATGAAAAAATTACATTTTTGTGTACAGTACTGCAAATGTAAACAGCAGAGTGGTAGTAGTTGGATAATGTGAGCAAGACATAGAAAGAGCTCTGAGGTAGCTAATCACAGTGATCGAGTTGAGCAGTCCCCAGACACACAGAGCAGTGTCAGGATGGCACCGTGGAGGGAAGACAGGCATTTCAACGACTTGGGGAAGGATAGCAGTCTTGGGATGGTGGCAAGAGTCTTCTGGGAGGATCTGTGAACCTTCCTCACAGACCTTTCGTTGCAGGGGACCCCTGTCTCCAGTGCACTCACTTCCTGCCCTCCTGTCCCTAGGAGACTCGTGACCATGGGGACACTGGCTCTCCTTGGCGTCCTTTCCTTGCTGGCTCTGCAGGCCCAGGGTGAGCCTCTCAGAGTCATGTTTGAGGCAGCTGCAGCCCAGGAACCCCTGGAGGGAGATGGCCAAGTCCCGTCCATCTCTCTGTTTGAGGATGACAGTTCTGTGCTTCAAGATTCAGGTGAGTGAGGTCATCAAGACAGAGACCAGCGCTGGAAGGAAGCTAGGGACACACTGAGCAATCGAGTCTGCAGCAGGTCCTACAGCAAGTGACAGGAGACACTGTCATTTGACTGTTCCTTCCTCTTCTTACTGAATGGTGACACCCTAGTGACGATAAGGTGACATTTCTGCATGGCCTGAATCCAACCTAGATGTGTCACAATCACTATGTTCAATGCAAGAGACGAGCTGTCTCTGGATGTTAGTGAGGAGGGTTGCTCTTAGACAAGCGTCTCCTCCATTTATGATGAGCTCTGTCCCTTGCAGTACATTTGTAGCTCCTTTTCCTTCAGTTCTATTTCACAGCCTCTCCTTTTTGCTTGAGGCTGGTTTTGGACTGTGATCCTCATCCCTGTGGCTCCGTTGAGCCAGCCTTTCAGCTTATTGATGAGGCAGGTCACCTGTTAGCTGTTTCATCCAGCGTGGCCTCACACCCCTGTTTCTGGGTCTCCTGACTACGGGAGTGGCCAGCATGGGTCACCCTCCACAGCATGGTGGGAGGGTCAGGTACTAGATGGAGACATGTGGGTGTGTTTGGATATTTGTGGGCTGCAGGGTGGACACCTGGGAGTGAAGTTAGCTGAGCCCTGGTGCTCACTGCTGTAATCCTAGATCCTCAGGAGCCTGAGAGCTGAGGATTATGGTTGAAAGCCAGGCAGGGATTCTGATCTCCAATTATATAAAAAAAAATGTAGAAGTATTGTTCAAATTGTAGAGTACTAGCTTTGAGTGACAAAGCCAGGCAAGATCATTGAGCCCTGAGTTCAAGCCTTAGGAACACACACAGGTTAAGAAAGAAGAAGTGAAAATAAATGAGGAAGGGTTTGGAGTGTGTGTGTCACTCACTCTTGCGTGTGTGCTGACTTGTGGTTATTAATGCTGCGCTCTGTGACACATGGACATCAGGAAACCCCTCTGTTGGCTGCCTTGTCAAAACTGTCAGCGCTCACTGCTGTCCAAAGTCCCAGCTGACTGATGCTTCCTCTGTGCCCCCAGGGGTCCAGGCCGGACGAAACTGTTACTGCCGAATAGGAGCCTGCCAGGGTGGGGAACGCACTTTGGGCACCTGCATTTACCGCAACCGCATCTACAGATTCTGCTGCTGAGCCTCGTGTGCAACAGAAAATGAGATTGTAATCTTCTCTGAAAGGTGGTGTCTCCCAGCCCATGTACCCCATTGCTTTCCCCACCCTAAATAAATCATCACAGAAAGGGCAGCGCATTTGAGCTTTCCTCGCTTGTGTCTCTGTCCTCAGAGCTCTGAGCTCTGCAGCCAAGCCCCAGCCTCTCCATCACACTCCTGCAGTCCAGCTCTGGCTCCCACGCTGACCTCCGTGAGGAGCTCACAGTCTCCACACATGTGAGAACACAGAATGGCTCTGCGCACCCCTCCCCCTCCCCCTGCTCTGAGCCCAGCCCTCATCTGCGCAGGATGCTCTCTCACTTCACCTCTGCCAAAGGCAGTGCCAGCCATTGTGCACTTCAATTCAAACAGTGACAAAGCTATCCCTCCTCATAGGAAATCACATCTACTTAGGCAAACCTTGGGAGTGATACGGAAAAGCACAGATCACCTGCCAGCCTGCACAGGCTGCTCCGTGTCAGGTCAGGAAGTGAACACAGTGTCAGGAAGGAGGAAAGCTGAGAGTCCCATCTCCCCACCTGTCCTGATGCCATCTTTGCTAGAGGGAGAGCTGGTGTCCAGAAACAAAAATCTACTATGGGCAATTCCCTCACTGCCCTCCACGCCTGTCTGAGCTGTTGGGATTCTTAGTGTGCCTGTTAGACACAGCCACAACTATTCACCAGGGTCACACAGAGAAACAGAGTCAGAGGTGTGAGTAGCCCTGCGTCCCCCTCCATGCTGGCCACACTGAGTTTGGCAGGACACCAGACCCTTGGTCAGGTCAAGGCAGGGGCTGGTGTGATTTGCAGGCTCAACAACAGGAGCACTAAGCTCAGTTCTGAGAACCTGGCCTGATAGAGACTAAAGCCTAGCTTTAGCACTGTGAAGTCGCCAAGCATTTTATTTGTTTATGTTCTCTGGATGTGGGAAATGTGACCGGCATTTCCTTCCATCGGAAGGAACAGCAGCTCATGGAGAAGGATGCCATCCGGCTCCTGCTGGCATGGCCTGCAGGTTCCCACACACTGCCTGGACACAACACCCCAGCAGAGGCCTGTGGGGACTGTTAGAATCTCCCAGACCCCAGCCCTGAGCTGTAGCCCAGCCCCGCCCCCATGGGTGGGACTTCCTGCCCATTTCACTTCTGCACTCTTCCAGTTCCCCACTAGAGATCTGGATGCCAGAGTTGTCTGTCCTGTTGTTCATCTGAGCACGGAGGTGGGCCAAACACTGACTGGGAAAGATGATCTGTCTGAGACACCTCCAGGGTTAATCAGTTGTCCAGAGAAGCTACCAAGCATGCTCAAGCATCACTGAGTTCATAGGAATGTTCCCACTGCTGGTTCTTTCTCTCACTCTTGTTTTAGCACCTTAACTTCAGTAAGAAGAGAAGGTTCTCCAATGCAGTTAAAATCCCCAATTGATAGGGTTTGACCTATTTTTGGGAAGCCTGGCAAGCGTTCAGCAACCTGGGTTAGCACGGGAACACCTGCCCCTCTTGTGGACTCTGCCTCTCTTGTGGAATCTCCCATCCTACTTGAGCATCTGCTTGGGGTTCAGAAGACCACAGCTTTCCTCAGTCCCTTTGCAGGCCTCTTCCCCTTAAGGCTCTGGGTCAGCTCACGTGTTTCTTAGGCATCACAGTGCCTCCTGATGGTCATCCTTTGCTACTGCAGTGCCACATGCCCACTTCCTCAGAGGTGGTCCCACTTACGGGGACTACTGTGTGGGCATAGGTCAGCTCCTAGGACTGAGGACACTGGAGAGACACGGTAGCTACTAGGAGCAGACACACAGGAAGCCCAGCAGACTACACTTCAGAGCCATCCCCTGTGCTTAGATTGCGAATGGAGGGTAGGTAGTCAGACAACATGAACAAGAGGAAGAAATCCTCATGTGATTGCCAGGGTCCTGCAATGGACAGCATGCTGGCTGTGGAAGAGGCTTCTGGATCATTCTGGCCTGGTCTGTGAGGAGGATTCTGGACCATTCCTTGGGTCTGTGAAGGATGAATCTGGATCATTGCATGGTTTTGCTTGTTGAATGTGGTATCAGGGGTTTGGACTGTAGTGTTTGTATATGTGTGAGTGACAGAAGAGGTGGAGATAAGAAAAGGAAACATGGTTAGCCCTCATTCTCCTCCCAACCTTTGATGTTGTGTTGATCTAACATTTCCACCTGCCCCGCACTTGTGTGTATTTGGCTATGGACTTGTCCATGAGGAGGACTCTTATGCTACCCTCAAGAAACCATGTGTCACTTCACAGCTGAGATGAAAAGCCCAATGTGCCTCCATGCTCCCTCTGCCCACCTGTCTATCAACAGCTGCTGGATTGTTCGGGGTTAGGACCTATGGCTTTCAGAACAGACACACACTGTTCTTAGGTTAGAGAGACCAAAAAATTCCAGAACTGTCCTTTAGGCCCAGACACACATCTGTAAAGAACATGGCCTTGGATGTCTGGCTCACAGGGTGACCTCCACAGTAGCCTGTGTCCGTGGAAGGGAAATGTCTGTCGTAGAATAAGTATCTTCTTCCCCACAAGCAAGTGTAGAGGTGACATGAGCGCTACCATCTGGAGATGACAAGTGAAATTTAGGGTGGGAAGAGACAACTGAACTGAAATCCTAGACATGGACAAGACAAGCCCTGTTCACCATGGGACAGGATGGAATCCATTCAGGAGCCCCTCATCTGATGAGGGATGTGTAGAGCTGAGGTGGGCACACACAGTGGAAGAGCACTCAGCCATGATGAGGATGAGATGTTTTGCAATGAAATGGAGGGAGCCAGAGATAATTGTGTTAAAGGAAATAATCCAGACTGAGAAAGGCAAATATTGACTCTTGTGAGGAATGCAAACGGGGGACTGAGTTTGAAAGCAGATGGAGGAGAGAGAACAAGGGGAGGAGCTGAAAGGGGCAGATAAGTATGACCATCACATGCTATTCACAACTATGACAAACAGAATAATGAAACCTTTAACATTTCTTATAAAGGGGGGAGAGGGTAAGGAAGGGTATTATAGTTGAAGTGGAATATGAAGAAAGAACATTAGAGGCATGTGCAGACATATCCACTGTACAACCAGTAACATTAACATGAAAAATCTCCCAAAGCAAAAAAATAACTAGATTTGGGTCCAGGCATGGTAGCAAATGTCTCTAATTCTAGAAATCAGAGGCAGGAGGCGGAGGTAGGAGGTTCATGGATTTCAGCTCAAGACTCTCTATCAAGTAAGTCCCACAGTTGCTGCAGAAACAGTTGGCTACAGTAAGACTGAGGTAGGAATCAGGAACCTACGTCTTCTGGGTTTCTAGATTCAGGGTTCCAGACTTTCCAGGTGATCTTGCTGGGCTGGGAAACAAATATGGACACCATAGATCACAGAATGACCCTCAATGAAGGTGGTGAAGGTCTACAGTGGGACCAGGGCAGGGCAGGGCAGGATGCCCTCTGTGCTTCATCTAACTGTGCTGACGCAGCATTTTGGTCTTTGCCATCACTCTTTTATCATTGGAGAATTGGGAACAGGACTTTTCCCTCCCCCTTCTCAAGGCAATTGGGTGACACTATTTTCTGGGCAAGTGTAGTTAGATAATGAATGCTAGGAAATCTAGTTGTTTGGCCCAGGCACTGAAGCTTGAGCAAACAGCACAGGCTTTCATCCATGATGGGTGATGACGAAAGTGAGCCAAGATTTTGCTTAAAGGATTTTTTTTTCCTTCAGATTCTGGTTCTTCCATCCCAAAGAATCTTGATACACCACAGGGTAACCATGAAAACTGTGTGCGGAGTACTTGTGACACAGGATGTATTTGGGGCAGACAAAGAATATCTCAGACAGGTGGAGGGTAATCATGGTCAGCTCATGGCCCCCAGGTGTGTGGTAATCTCACATGGCTGTGGCTTCAGTCCAACGAACCCCAAGACTGATGTTCTGCTAAGCTCAGGTCAGGTGAAGTCTGACCCAGAGAAGAGACTCGCCCAGCCCTCCATGCCCAGGGCAGTGACTGAGGCCTCTGAACCCTGGGCACCAAAGACTAGGTCACTCCATGTCACACATTTCCAGCCAGCACCAGACTCCATGGTCAGCCAAACATGGGTTTGTGTCTCCTGAGCTCAGTGAATGAAGCATTGTTTCCTTTCCTTCTAGAAACACAAAATGTAAATAAAGGCAGATGGAAAAGCGGGAAAGACTGTGATGACTTTATCCTCAGCGTTACCAGCTTGATCAGAGGACCGCCACTGGACACACAGACCAGTCCTGGGAGGCAGCACTGCACATGGAGGAACATTAAGGGGGCCTTGAGCGCTGCGCCCCATCGCTCCCCGTCACGTGCAGGGAGCGGCTCTGGGCCGACCATAAATACAGCGATGCTCTCCTCCCCTCAGCTCCCGCTCTGCACCGCCAGGTCACTGGCAGCCATGAGGACGCTTGCTCTCCTCGCTGCCCTTCTCCTGCTGGCCCTGCAGGCTCAGGCCCAGTCTCTCCCTGAAAATGTGGAGGAAGATGCATTGCAGGAGCAGCCTGGGGAAGGGGTCACCATGGCCGTGTCCTTCACTGGACCTGAGAGGTCTGCTCTCCAGAAGGCAGGTGAGAGAGGGCAGACAGTGTGGTGGGGCCTGGAGAGGAAGGAGGGAGCTGGCTCTGGAGTCAGGCTCAGGAGCCTGGTCCAGATCGACTAGGCCCACCCAGGTGACCTTGCTGCTCCTCTCTGTCCTTGCTGTGCTCATTTGTAGAAGTGACAGTGAGAGTCACCAGCCTGAGACTCTTCCAATACAGACTTTGGGCTCCAAAATGTGTCTTTGGAAGTCACTAGGGAATAGCAAGCATAGAAGCTCATTATAGAGCGAAATGGATTGATATATCTATCGGGAGACCATCCTGCCTGTCCTGAGAGAAAAGATGAGGGGTGCTGGAGCTTGTGCGGGAGAGTTCTTAGTGTGTCAGAGGGGATAGGGAGGCAGATACATGGGGTTAGAGGAGAGTGGGGGTCTGGGGCAATGGCCCTAAGCAGCACTGAGCATGTTGGCTGTGAGGTTGTCCACATGGCAACCTGCCCTGAGCCTCCTGTGTCTTCCCATGCTGCCC